AACTCCTGGGCTCAAGCAAGTCTCCTGCCTCAGCCTCCCAAGTAGCTGTGACCACAGGCGCCTGCCACAACGCCCGGCTATTGTTTGGTTGCAGCTGTCATTGTTGTTTGGCAGGCCCAGGCTGGATTCGAACCCACCACCTTAGGTGTATGTGGCTGGCGCCTTAGCTACTTGAGCCACAGGCACCGAGGCCTTTTTTTCTGTTGGAATTGTCATTGTTGCTTTAGCTGGCCCAGGCTGGACTCAAACCCTCCAGCCTCAGTATATGTGGCTGGCGCCCTACCCACTGAGCTACGGGCACCGCCTATTTGTCATGTCTTTGTAAAAAACATGGAGATCTAGAAAGATTTAAAGACAAAATCCATGATCACCAGCTGGACACAGTGGCTCATGCCTGTAATCAGCACTCTGGGAGGCCAAGGCAGGTGGATTGCCTGAGCTCATGGGTTCGAGACCAGCCTGAGCAAGAGCGAGACCCCTGTCTCTAAAAATAGCTGGGTGTTGTGGCAGGCACCTGTAGGCCCAGCTACTTGGGAGGCTGAGACAAGAGAATAGCATGAGCCCAGGAGTTTGAGGTTGCTGTGAGTTATGATGCCATAGCACTCTACCAAGGGCAACAAAGAGAGACTGTCTCGAAACAAAAAAAACAGAACAAAACCGTGATCACCCACATTTTCCCACTGTCCAGGGGTAAGACAGTAATGGGGTTTTTTTTTGTTGTTTTATGGGGTTTTTTTTGCAGTTTTTGGCCAGGGCTGGGTTTGAACTCGCCACCTCCGGTATATGGGGCCAGCACCCTATTCCTTTGAGCTATAGGCGCCGCCCAGACCATAATATATTTTATGTATTTTTACCAGGCATTTTTAATAGAGTTTGGCTCCAAATTGGTTTGCCATCCTGATTATTCTTTTTTTATTTATTTTGTTGTTGTTGTAGTTATTGTTGTTTGGCAGGCCCTGGGCCAAGCCCCATCCTGATTTTCAGATGCTGCATTCTTTCAGAAAATTTCCCCACGTGGGTATTTTTTTTGAGCATCATTTTCACTAACTATTCCCTCTGCATGCTGCAATGTGACCAGCCTGGGCCCAGCAGTGAAGGGCACCCTTATAGTCAGTCACTGTGTATCACTATGTTGAACATCCTTGCAGACAAACCTTTTTCTCTATCTCTGAGAAGACTTGATCCTAGAGACAAACTTCTAAGTCCTCCTGATGTCCCCAGATGTCTGAGTCCCCCAGGTGGCATAACACTCATCTCTACCCCAGGATCTAAGCTTAGCAGGCCTCAGAGAGTCTTGCTGAGTGAATGAATGAATGAACATGTGAATGAGTGTTCCCACTGCCAGAGCATTTAGGAAGATCAAACGGAGTGGGATGGGAATATCTCATGCCCAAGGAAGTTATTTACCAAAAAAAATAAGGTCTGTTGAACATGGTGACTGTTACAAGTAACAATGTAATGTACATTTGACAATTGCTAAAAGAGTAGATTTTCAGTGTTCTTACCACAAAAAAAGATTAATATGTGAGGTAATGGAGACATTAATAAGTTTGATTTAGGCATTCCCCATGAGTATATATATTTTATATATACTATACACACATATATATCAATTAAAAAACAAATTTTGCTGCAGTAAGTGGCTTGTGCCTGTAATCCTGACATTTTGGGAGGCTGAGGTGGGAGGATTACTTGAGCCCAGTAGTTCAAGGTCAGCCTGCGTGAAAGAATGAGATTCCCATCTCCAAAATAAATAAATAAATAAATAAATAAATGTTAAAAATATGTATCATTGGCTTGGTGCCTGTAGCTCAGTGGCTAGGGCGCTAGCCACATACACTGAAGCTGGAGGGTTCAAGTCCAGCCCAGGCCTGCCAAACAACAATGACAACTACAACCAAAAAATAGCCAGGCATTGTGGCAGGCGCCTGTAGTTCCAGCTACTTGGGAGGCTGAGGCAAAAGAATCACTTAAGCTCCAAAAGAGTTTGAGATTACTGTGAGCTGTGACATCATGGCATTCTATCAAGGGCAACATAGTGAGACTCTGTCTCAAAAAAAAAAAAAAAAAGTATCATTTTATGTTGTAATCAGAAATGAGTAATATATATTAAACATATATATATATGATTACAATTGAATAGTATTTATTTTCTCTGATTATAGTAAACATGTTCATTATAGAAAACTAGAAAATGTAGGAAAATGGAAGGTAGCTGGTGCCTCTCGGCCCCACTCCCACTTCCTCCCCCAGATCTACCTGCACCTGCGCTCCTACACCATGCCCCAGGAGCAGCGCTACATCATCCGCCTGCTCCTCATTGTGCCCATCTATGCTCTGGACTCCTGGCTCAGCCTCCTCCTCCTGGGAGGCCACCAGTACTACATCTACTTGGACTCTGTGCGGGATTGCTATGAAGGTGAGTGACAGGGAGGGGTGTGCCCGGAGTAGGGGCTCCCAGGGGCATACACACAACACACATGGCCATTCCCTAGGATCCTTGCCCTTCTGCCCTCCATGGCTGTGACTAGCAATATTAGCAGGCCTCTGGGAGGGGCTACAGGAAGCCTGCCCAGAGCCTGGGTGCCTATGCAGTTGTGATGAGGCTGAGGTTGTACATGGAGCCCACTGAGCCTCAGGTGGTCCCCATTAAATGGGCTCCATGGAGTCCTGGGTGGGTCTGGCAGAAGCCTCTGTGTAAGTTGGGGACCCCATGGGCCACAGGCTCACCCCTCTGTCTATCCCGCAGCCTTTGTCATTTACAGTTTCCTGAGTCTCTGTTTCCAGTACCTGGGGGGTGAAAGCGCGATCATGGCTGAGATTCGGGGAAAGCCCATCAAGTAAGCCCCTCACCCCAGGACCCCACCAATGCCTTGCACGCCCAGGATAGGGCAGCTAGGCAGGCGCCGGGACCATGTCCTCTGTACCCTACCTCAGGGACTGCCCACCCCCAGGTCCAGCTGCTTCTACGGCACCTGTTGCCTCCAGGGCATGTCCTACTCCATCGGGTTTCTGCGCTTCTGTAAGCAGGTGAGTGGGGGCCACCCTACCTGCCCTTCCATCCCAGCTGGTACCCAACTGGTACTCACCCCACCCCGCTTGGCCTACCCTCGCTCCCTTCCCTCCAGGCCACGCTGCAGTTCTGTATTGTGAAGCCAGTCATGGCCTTGGCCACCATCTTCCTCCAGGCATTTGGCAAATACCGAGATGGGGACTTCAGGTAAGGCTGGCGGGTGCAGGAGAAGGGGCCCAGTAGACTGTCTAAGACCGGGCACAGTCTCCAGCTGAGTGGGACCAAGTCTTCACCATGAAGACACCAGTGTCACAAAAACCAAGACCTCAGGGCTCCCTGTCTTGTGGGGAAACTGGCAGGGTTAGGCTGGCAGATAATACCCAGGGGGGATGGCCCTATCCCAACAAATATGCTGAGGACCTCAGGGCTGCATAGCCCGGCCAGGGATGGCTCTCACCCTGCTGCAGTGGACCTACCCAAGGTACACAACTGAGGGGCCAATGTCTGCCCTGACCTGCCAGCTGAGCAGGTGGGCAGTCACCCCCCAACAGGAAGGGGCCCTGTGTCAGGTGCACACATGCTCTCACACAAGTGCAGGAGCACACATGATACGTGTATTTACACACATGTATACACATGTGACAGAGGTAGCTTTCTGACAGGACTGCAGGGGTCGCTACTTAAAGAAGACACAATCTCAGCAGGAGGAGGGTCAGGGGCTTTGCTGGGAGAGGGCCTCACATCCTTGCTGGGTTACACATGGGGTTCAGTGAGGGCTCCCCAAGACCACCTGTGCCCACCCCCAGCTCCTCACTGCCCTTCTGCAGGCCTCGGGGAGAGGGTCCCAGGCTTAAGGTGGGGCCACATCTAGGGCACAGCAGCTATAGGATGGGCAGGGGAGAAGGCATGGGCCACCCAACCACCTGACCACAGCTCTTCCTCTGGCCCAGCATCCACAGTGGCTACCTCTACGTGACTCTCATCTATAATGCCTCTGTCAGCCTGGCCCTCTACGCCCTGTTCCTTTTCTACTTCGCCACCAGGGAGCTCCTGCAGCCCTTTGAGCCCATCCTCAAGTTCCTCACCATAAAAGCCGTCATCTTCTTGTCTTTCTGGCAGGGTATGTGGGGTTGGCTAGATGGGTGGGCCTGCCCAGGCAGGGGCTGGAGTCCCTGGATTCTCTATTTCTTGTAAACCATTGGTTTCCCCAGCCAAAGTACGGGTCGGTAACACAGCCTTCTTAGCACAGGGCCAGTAAAGCCTGGGCACAGAGGAAGTAGGGCAGCCCCCTCAGTAGACATGGCCCCATAGTCAGTGGAGAGAGGGAGTCAGGTAGAGGCCACACCAGCATCTCCTGAGTACTGGTCCCTGCCAGGCCCTGGCCAGGCCCTGGCCAGGCTGTGAGCAGTCAGTCCCAGTATGCAGAGGAGGATAACTTCCAGACAGGAGCTAGGGAGCTCAGGACTAGGGTTAGGCACAGCAGGGAAGGCACTCCTGGGCATCCAAAGCCATACCCTGCCTATGGAAGCTCCTAGCCCCTCTAAGCCTCAGCTTCCCAATGTGTGGAACGGGATGTCACAGCACCCATTCCTCTAATTCCCCTAATGGGTGCTGTGACATCCCATTCCACACATTGGGAAGCTGAGGCTTAGAGGGGCCAGGAGCTTCCATAATCAGAGTTGCCATGGGGACTGCAACTCTTCCTCCCATGCAGACCCCCTAAGCCCTGGTGCCAGCCTTGAGGGGGGTGCTTGGGAGGTGAGGTCCAGCCTAGCCTTCCACTAAGGCTGGTGTCTGAATTTCCACCACCATCCTCAGGGATGCTGCTGGCTGTTCTGGAGAGGTGTGGGGTCATCCCTGAGGTCCAGACTTTGGATGGGAGCACAGTGGGGGCCGGCACGCTGGCTGCTGGCTACCAGAACTTCTTTATCTGCATTGAGATGCTCTTTGCCTCTGTGGCCTTGCGCTATGCCTTCTCCTGCCAGGTGTACTCAGAGAAGAAAGAGAACTCACCAGGTATGCCAGACCATCTAGCTGAGGGGCACGTGGAACTGCACAGCCCTGCCCTTGGTAGGATCTGTGTTCATCCTACACATGAGGCCCAGGAATGTCAACATACTGGTCAGGGAGACATCCCAGGGTGTCCTGGCTCCAGAAAGGCACCTCATCTGTGTGTGGCTCAGGCCAGCTAGCAAGAGCCAGGTAGGCAGAGGCTTGAGCTCTGAGTGAGCTGCAGTAGGACGGAGACTTGAGGGCCCCTCTGCTGGTGGGGGGGGCCGGTGCCCACAGCCAGGCAAGCTCTACCCTCACTGGGACCAGCCTCAAAGCAGAGAAGCTGGCATCCCAGGAACTGGCCACCCATCTGGTCAGCATGGAGTTGCCAGAAGTTTGCAGGGTTCACCCAGCCCAAGCTACCTCCCTAGCCTCTCAGGGACCCCAGGAGACATGGTCTTTGGTAGGGATCTGGGCAGGAGTAGGCCCCAGGGCTGGGTCTGAGAGTTGGGCTGGGAGCCATCCTTGGCTGACCACAGCCCAACTTGGACATGAAGGAACCACAGCCCTGGGCAGCCTGGGGCTAGTAGGGACAGATGCACAACAGACTGGAGGTGGGGCCGAGAGGCTGTGCCCTTTCATGGGGTATGCAGTGTGTGGGGGGAGTGTTCATGTCCTGCCTGCTTGCCCCAGGCCCCGCAGCACCCATGCAGAGCATCTCCAGTGGCCTCAGGGAGACCATGAGTCCCCAGGACATCGTGCAGGATGCCATCCACAACTTCTCACCAGCCTACCAGCACTACACACAACAGGCCACACACGAGGCCCCCAACCCCAGCCAGGGTGGGTGCCCCTCACCTAGCACCCACCCTAGCATGGCTGGCAGCTCTGGTGGGGGCAGGAAGAGCCGAAATGTGGAGAAGCGGATGCTAATCCCCTCAGAGGACCAGTAGGTGCCCAGCTAAGGATCCAGACTGCCCAGGTCTCTGGGAAAGGATGTCCCCCACTCCTGCCAAAGGTCAAGCCTCTCCCAAGAGACCCCCACAGAACCCAAGAAGATGCTCCCATCCCACCTCTAGCATGTGGGTTAGGGAACTTGGGGCCCTGCCAGCACCCAGGGCCTACAATATCCCCAGTGGGCCTGCTGCCCCAGAAGCCTGAGGACCTGCTGACCTGGCTTTGGTTCCCAGTGCCACACCAGCCTCAGGAGAGCTCAAAAGTGGCCCTCCTTTCATGCAGTACAAGCAAGCCCCAGCTATGCAGAGCAGGGCAGCCCAGCCTTAGACAGCCTGAAGCTTGGGCACTGTGGGCTAGGGATCTATGTTGGCTGGCCAGGATGGGGCAATGCCAGCTGAGCCTTGCTGTGGTTGTGGGATGAGGGTGTGCCAGGCTTGCCAGCCACTTGCTGCCTACCAGAGAGCTGCTCTTATTTATATAAATACCTTGGATTTTCTAATGACTGACTCCCTGTTTCCGATCTTGTGGGGCCAGTGAGTGCCCTGGGCAGTGGGCCACAGTGGGGAATCAGATAAGGCCTCTGATATCAGTAGAGCTGGGGGGGTGTCCCAGTCCTCCCTCCCTAGGGCAGCCAGCCAGCTGTTTTCTGAGCTGCACAGGGCAAAGAGCTGAGACTTTGAGACCTGACACCTGAGTCTGTGCCACCCATGAGAACTGAGGAGCCACTTCTGTCTTTGGAGCCTCAGCTTCCTCATAAAATAGGCTAATGCCAGCCCCACTGCAGCAGGTAGATGAGGCCATGTAAGCATGGCACAGCCCAGAGAGCTGGGGGCACAGAAGGATCCTTGTCCTCTCCCCTGCCTCCTCTTTTTCCATGTGCCAGGTGGGCCTGAATACAAAGCAGGCTGAGCCAGAGGTATAGGCCCTGCCTCAGGAGGCTGGAGGGAAGGCAGTAACCCAGGAGATGGGGTTTTCCTGGAGGAATGTGGGTGGGCCCTGGGCTGGGTATTACAGGTAGAGAAGGGGTATCATAGGGGAGGGGGTGTTATGGGGAAGAGATGTCACAGGTAGGGGACGTCATGGAAAAGGGCATCACAAATGGAGAGGGCGTGTCAGAGCAGGGGACATCATGGACGGGGCATGTCAGTAGTCAGCACACGTGCCCTGTGTGCATTTGTCAGTCTTGTGTGTCTGGCCACAACATGGGGGTAGGGCTGGGGCTCAGGGACTGAGCACAGGAGTCATGCTGCTGGTGACCAGGCATGGCAGGCAGGAAGGCCAGGCAGGCAGCACACAGAGCCAGAAGCTCCTTCCCTGCCACCTGGAGGCCCACTCCCATGTCACTGGAAAGGGGAAGACATACCCGGGACCTCTGAGGGACTCAGCAGGTCAGGAGCGTGTGGTGTCAGGCTAGAGTGGGCCAACTCACTGGCCTTCTTACTCCCTGGCCTGAGGACATGGGGAACTCAAGTCTGGTGGCTTTTGTGGAGTCCAGCTGAGCTGGCTGATAAGATAGGCCAAGCTTCTCTCCCCACGCCTGCTGGAAAGGCCCCTACCCACCATATCGCACCCTTTGCAGTTGGCAGAGCCATAGGGGCCCCAAAGGCGAGGCCCCAAGTCTTAGTCAGTCAGCAGGTTTGGGAGCAGGTGCTCCATGGAGACCTGCTAACAGAGGAAGATCTGGAAGCCACAGGAGAGGCTGGAGGCCAGGCTGTGCTGCAGAGCCCAGGGAGGGTGTGGGGAGCTCACTGAGCCCTGAGCCTGCTCTCCCTACCTTGGAGAGGACCACCCCTTTGTGAACTTGAGTTCACAATTGCCAGGGCAGTGTGCACAGAAGACAAGTGCGCAAGGGTCCTTCTGGAAACCCTGATGCCATGTGGGCCTCAGGTTGCAGGGGTTGAGGTGTCACAGGACAGACCTGTTTGCTGGACAGTGCCTGAGGCCTGCACTTTGTAGAGGAGAGAAGTTCATATGGACCGACCACCCACTGTGTGAGCTGAGGAACCTGACATACAGGGTTCTCAGGACAGCCCAGGAAGGCCAAGCTGAAAGGTCAAGCAAGTTGCCAGAGGTCATAGAGCCCCAACTAAGATACAGGGGTGGGAAGTGGCTCCACAGGACTGCCTCTTCTCTGCCACAGGACAAGGCCCCACCGCCTCCATTCTAACAGTGCCAAAGCCATGCAGGCTGAGCATGATGCCCTCTGCCCCTGCCACATGCAAGAACAATAAGTAGTACAGCCTCCCTACGGGCTGTGGGCTGGGCCCCTGGGCTAAGGAAGGGGCAGCACCAGAAGTTGGCTGATCTGGGCCAGGTGCTATCGCCAAGTTGTCTAACCTCTCTTGGCTTCATCTGACATGGCCTTGCAGAAAATTCCCAGCAATCCACACACAAGAACAGAAGAACACCATGGGGAGCCAGGAGGGGACCTGCAGCAGGCTGGGCAGATGGCCAGGACAGGGTCTCCTTTAATAAGCCCCTGTCTGCCTGCAGCCCCCAAGAGCTCAAGACTGGGCAGGGGTTCTGTGCCTCTGGCTCACAGCCCCAGGCCTGCTGCTGCTCTGGGCACCCAGCTCACCTCAGAGGGGGCTGGCTTCAGGGATGTCTGGCTTATCTGGGAAAACACCTGTCATTGCCACTGTGGGAGTTGCAAGCTTAGAGCATAGCACGGACCCCCCCCCCCCACCTACTCTGCTAAGGTGCCTCTTGTTTTGTGTCGCTGCCCACACACCATTTACAGAAGAAAACTCATAGCCCCGAGAGGGAACAAACTGGCCCAAGGGCACACAGAAGTTAAGAGTTGGGATTTCAGGAGGTGCCTGTGGCTGTGAGTAGGCCACCGGCCCCATATACTGAGGGTGGTAGGTTTGAAACCAGCACTGGCCAAACTCCAACAAAAAAATAGCTGGGCGTTGTGGCAGGCACCTTTAGTCCCAGCTACTGGAAGGTTGAGGCAAGAGAATCACCTAAGCCTAAGACCTAAAGGTTGCTGTGAGCTGTGATGCCATGGCACTCTACCGAAGGTGACAAAGTGAGATTTTGTCTCAAAAAAGAGTTGGGGCTCGGTGCCTGTGGCTCAAGCAGCTAAGATACCAGCCACATACACCTGAGCTGGCAGGTTTTAATCCAGCCCGGGCCCACCAAACGATGACAACTGCAACCAAAGAATAGCCAGGCGTTGTGGCAGGCGCCTGTAGTCCCAACTACTTGGGAGGCGGAGGCAGTAGAATCGCTTGAGCCCAGGAGTTGGAAGTTGCTATGAGCTGTGATGCTACAGCACTCTACCCAGGGTGACAGCTTGAGGCGCTGTCTCAAAAAAAAAAAAAGTTGGGATTTCAGCCCAAGTAGTCTGGCATCAAAGTCCATTCCTGCCCTAAACAGCCAGGTCTGACAGAGACAGTGGGGCAGGGGTGCTCACTATGGGGGGCCAAAAGTTCTGCTCTCTGAGCTCAAACACACCAGTCTCTCTTACTTCCTGCGGGCACATCTCAGAGCCCCACCCAGACTACATGGGTGAGGGGCTGCTCAGCTCCTGCACCTGCCTGGGAAACCCAGATGGAAAGGAGTGCTGCATCAAGGGATAGGAGGCTTCTGGGCAGAGCAGATAGGGAAACTCAAGAACCCACTGCCATGCAGAGCCCAGGATATAAGCAGAAAGAGCCACCCATCTCCTATCTGGCTAACTGCTACTCCCATGGCTGTCCCAACATCACGTTCACAAGTGTCAGAAACCCACTCACATGGGCAGCCCAGGACCCTGAGCCCCTATAACGGGGTTCTTGACCAAAGAAAGTCACAACCCACAGCACCAGCAACACAAAGGATCTGAAACCAGAAAATTCTTTATTGCAAAGGTACAAAAGCAGTCACAGCAGCAAGATATACAGCAGTAAATTAGGTGGCAGCCATGGTACAGGGACAGGGTATGACTGCAAGTGAGGGCTGTGCCAGGTGAGGGTCCACACATGTGATCTCTCCTCAATAATTTATATCACATAAAGGCAGCACAAAAATAAATATTGAAATGAAACTGCTGAGAACCACAGAGGCAGGATAAACTGGTGTGAAAAGGTGACAAATGGAGGGTCCCTTTGGAAAAAGCCAAGACCTGCCTTCTTCAGAAAGTCTGAGGCACAGAGACAAAAAACAACCCATACGACAAAGAGAACCTTGTCTTTTTTCTTAAATTAAAAAAAAAAAAAAATCCATATATTAAATCACAACAATGAAATCTCAATGACTGGAAAAGAAAAGCAGAATGCACCATCCTTCCTGGCCCTGCTCTTAGCAGGCAGGGCCTGGGCAGAGGCTCCCCCCACCCTAAGTGGCAACAACATCTCTATCCATCCTGGAATCCAAGGGTGAGGTGTCCCCCTTCTAGCCCATGGCTGATAGTCACCTACCTGCCCACATCCAAGACAGGGACATCAAGAACCCCAACACTGGTGGGAACCTGCCACCCACTGTGGCCTGAGCTGGGGGGGAACCCAGCTCTTAGGACACCTACTGGGGTGGGGCCGGGCCTTGTTCCTAGCCCCAGCTGGCCCAGTGCAGAGGACAGGAGGAGACAGCAGATAGCCTGGGCCTCCTTCCTCTGAACCATGAGGAACCCAGCTCTAAGGACACCTACTGGGGTGGGGCTGGGCCTTGTTCCTAGCCCCAGCTGGCCCAGTGCAACCAGCAGGACAGGAGGAGACAGCAGGCAGCCTGGGCCTCCTTCCTCCCAGCCATGAGCAGCAGGAAGCCAGGAGGGAGGGCGACCTGCTCCCATTCCCAACAGTCCAACGCGGCTCTGCACTAATAAACATTTACAGTATCAAACTGGAAAAGGAAAATTCCTACGAAAAATCTGTACGATAAAATGTGTATATAATTTTTATATATATATATTTCTCTTTCTCTCTTTAAATATTCCCCATGGTCCTTATCGATATCCAATATGGATTACCTACCATGGTTATGGCATCAACAGCTTTTATCTAACACCTGGGCCTTTTGAGACGTCAGGGTCATATGCCCTGGCGCTGGCTGGGCCTATAGCTTCCTTGTCACTTAGAACAGCAAATAGAACCATGTCGCAGCCCTCGGGCTGCCCGTCCTCCCCCTCCTCCTGCTGGGCTCACACCTCTCAGGGGGCTGTACAGCTTGCTGGGGGTCTTACTGGGTAGGTAGGACCAGCCACAAGGAACCAGGAGATGGAGCCCTGGGCAACACTTCTGCTTTTTCTATGTGGTGGCTGCTGGCCAGCAGCTGGGGCTTGAGTCTTGGCAGTTCACAACAGGTGGGGGCCTCAGGACCAGCACCCACTCCCATGCTGAGGCCAAGCCATAGGAAGAGCCCCTGTGCAGCTCTCTAGGAGGAAGAAGCCCAAAAAGGACAGGCAAGACCACAGCAGCTCCCAGCTTTGGGAAGCAAGAGCAAGGTCACCAGGCCACCTTCATGCTGCAGCTGACAGGCACTCCTACACAGCCTAGACACGGGGGCATGTCCATGTGGCTTTCCTGGTGTCTGACTGGCCCCTCCCCTCCCATCAAGCCTCTGACCCGCCACACATCCTGGGCACTGCTCCTGCCTCCTCCCTACTCCGCACAGAACATCCTCCCCCCACCTCCACCATACCACTTAGGCTGCAGCCCCTGCTTGGACCACAGCAGCCCTCCTCTCCAGGCCCCAGAAAGACCTCCACACTCTCCCTTGTGCCAACCACCGCTACTAAAAGGCAGCTCCAGGGGCACAAGACCTGATGGGACACCCTGCCAGTATGTACTGAGACCTGGGAATGGCCCATGGGATTGTGACTGAGTGGGGTGGCTCCCCACAGGTGGTGGTGACTGCACCTTGATAGGCAACACGGGAACATGGACAAACCTCAACATACACATGCCTCTCCCTGCCCCACATACTGATGGGCCCTCCCCACATGACCACCAATGAGCTACTCCTCCAAGGCCAGTGAGCTGCTGGCACACGTGCTGTGAGGGCAGGCAGACCTGCACGCACACACACACCAGCCTACATAGGCAGCCTTCCCCACATCTGTGGCCACGTGGCACGGGCTGCATGCTCAGGGCTGAAGCAGGAAGACCAAGCTGCCAACTGCCTTCCATCCACTCCCCTCCTCAGAGCATCCTGAGCCCTATCAGGGTAGCCAGGGGCTCCTGCAGTAGCTGGCATCTGCCCCTAAAAGGGGTGGAAGACAAGCCTCCACCCCCACCCCCCAGGCTGCAGGGGCAGCTCTTGCTTACAGTAGCCCTGGAAATGGACAGCAAGACCTCCCTGGGATTTTCCTGCTCTACATCCTGACTCCCTCAGGTGTAAGATACCAATTCCCAAAACCAGATACACATACTGGGGAGAAAGGGCAGGATGTGTGAGTGTGTGTGCACACGTTGAGCGTGGGTGGCATGTGGTATGGTGCCCCAGAGCCTGCTCCCATCCTGCACCTACAATCTCGTCCTGATGCCTGCTGCCGAGGTCTGGGAGGCAGAGTGCACTTTAACTTGGATATTGAGAGTCTGGGTCCCAGAGACCCTTTGACAGGCACGCAGGAGGCCCCCTGCCCATAGCCCCCCACGTGGCCCCAGCAGGCACTAGGATGCAGCAGAGAAGGGCACGGAGGAGGAGAGCTCTGCAGACTTGACAATGGTGATGACGCTGGTGGTGGCCACCTTAGTGGGTGCAACGGGCCCGCGGGCCACAGTGCGGGCAAAGGTCTGCAGGGCCTCGTACTTGGAGCGCAACGCGTCCAGCTCCAACCGCATGCTGCTATTCTCACGTGCCAGCTTCTCCACCTCCTGCTGCAGCTCCACACGCTGCCGCTCTAGCTCCTCCTTCTGCGTCACCCGTTTGATCCGGCAGCTGGCTGCGTAGCCACGGTTCTTGAGTGTGCGCCGGCGCTGCTTTAGTCGGGTCACCTCCTCCTTGGTGAGGCCCCGCAGGTGCTGGTTCAGCTCCCGCACCGACATGGACACCAGCTCATCATCACTGAGCACTGGGGCGTTCTCACCCGCCTCCTTCTTAACCTGTGGGCCAGAGCACTGGGTCACTGCCAGGAGGGCTGGGCCTGGGTGGCTACAAGGACACCTATCACAGTAGGCAGAATCCCAGCATAGAGGCAGAAAAACCTGGCTGTGACCCCTTTGCATGCTCTTGGGGCTGCTGGACCCTGCACATAGGCAGCCCCCCATGACAGCTGCCCACATCACATGACCATCCCAGCACAGAAGAGACCTGATGGCTGTCCCCACCCGGGAGAGGTAGTGACATTAGTCACCCAGGTTACTGCCACCAGTGAGACAGCATACTCTATTCTCAGATGTTGAAGGGCCGGGGGAGGGGGGGGCAGCAGGTACAAATGAAGTTGGACTTTTGAAGCCATAGCACCCTGGTCACCAGAGGCCACACTGCTGCCCCAGTGCTGGGTGACAAGCTCAAGCAGAAGCAGGGCCTGGAGACACAGACACAGCCATGGCTGATGAGAACCTCAGCCTGGGGATCATCACCCTGAATGTAGGGCCAGGTCTCCTTGGGCAAGAGTCTTTGCTTCTGTCACCAACCTCTCCCACTGACAGTGCTCCCAGCTAACAGTGCTTCCCAGTCCTGGTGACAGGGAGGCCTTTGTCACACCCTGGGGGCAGCCTGGGAAGCAGCTCTGAGGCTGGGAGAAACCTCTATCAGGCCTGTGTCGGGGACAGTGGTGGGGCCTGCCCAGATCCAGGCACCCGGTGTCTTACCTTTAATGCCTTGTTCGGTTTGGGATTAGTCGTCATAACCTGGGCACAGTCACCAGGACAGAACTGTTTGGAAAGTGTAACTAGAAAAACACAAAAGAGCACACAGAAGTAAGCACAGTTAGGTCTTGGCAGGCTTAGAATGGGCGGCTCCTTTCTCAGCAGGGATGCTCGAACAGGACTCAGCGCCTCATCCAGGGCTGTTCAGTCACACCATTCCCAAAACAAGACAGGGCCATGTCATACTCCAGCCTTGTGAGGGGCTCCCAGCTGTACCCCACACTTAGCCTTGGCCCACAGTCGGCTGGGCTCCCCCACCCCAGCCCTGGTAAGGGCCTGGCACCTGCACGCTGTCCCTTGTTGCCCTCCTGTGCCAGTTGCCAGTGCCCCGGGGTGAACACCAGATGCAATTGCTGCTTCCTCTTCTGACTCCCCTCCTGAACTCTGACAAGAGACACAAGGTGCTCTGTCCTGGAAACCAAAGCAGCCAGCAGCAAAACATCCCAGCTAGCTGTGCCCAGCACATGAGGATCCACTGGACCCTCAGAGTGCCCACCCCTCTAGACCAGCCTGGTTCCCAAGAGGGGGGTCCTCTACAGAGCCTTACCCCCAAAGATGGGCCAACACAGGGCACTTGCCACCCCCGACTCCACCCTCACTGCAGCCCTGAGGGACACCTACTATGGCCAAGGGCACCGCAGCTGTGACATCACCTCCACCAAAGCAGCTCCCTGCACCAAAACCTGTGGTTCAAGAGGTGGGTGGGGGGCTCCTGAAGAGCAGCAGAACCAGAGACCGTGGTCAAAGATGGGGAGGTGGAGAGCTGCTGCTGCTACCACTGTCTCACCAGCTAATGGGCCGTCTGGCGGGAGCTGTCCCCGTACCGCCCCCGCTCCCGCGCCTGCCCTTCCCAGTCGCGTCTGCATTGTGTCACACATTCTAATCATTCATGAAAAACCCAGCCAAGCCATCCCAGGCATGATTCCCCTCTGATAGTTGCCATGGCGACCTTGGGACATGGCCAGCCCCCCCCATGGTTGTTATGGAAACAGAGAAGCCCAAAAGCAATGAGGACTTCAGGTCAGGACTGTGCGCAGACATCATGAGGCATCAGGCAGTAAACAAACTCATGCACCCCCACCCACAGGGAAGGATGTATGATGGCCATGGGATGGAGTCTTACAGTCCCCCACTCCCCACTCCCCAGGTGCAAGATGAAGGGACATCAGAGAAACATGTGGAGGAGACAGTGCCTCAGGTCTGGAGGGCAGACGTTGGCAAAGCACCTCCATCCAGCATGAGCACTATGGGTGGATGACCCCAATGTACTCACTGCACACCCAGGACCCAGGGCTGCACTGGGGACCCCAGGGCTTAGATCTCTCTACCCTTTGGCCCTGCCTCTGCTGGAGGCCTCAGGGCCCTGTTCCCATGACTGACAACCAGAGAGCTGCAAACCAAGACGGGTTCTCAGCCACTCTCATGGCACTCCGGATGGCTGAGCACAACAGGCCCAGGCCTATGGTGAACTGCCAGCTCCTAGACCAGGAGGGACTGAGTACCCCACAGACCTGAGAGGCAGCAGGTAGCAGTCTGGGGTGACCCTAACTGAGAGGGAGAGCTGTGGACAGCAACATGACCCCGACAGGCACAGTGGTCTCAGCCTACACTGGGGTTAAGCCAACACTGAGGGAGTCAGGCCTGGGAGGACCATGAGACCATCTCCGTATCAGAGGGAGGAGGAGCCTGGGCTGTCTCCCAGCTCACACTCAGAGCACGTCAGTGCAAAGGGCCCAGCGGCCAGTGACATAGTTATGTGGTGAGTCACCAGCTGTTTACAGAGCCGGCAGCTCACATTCCCACACACAGGAGGCCCCTCCCACCCCTGTAAGGACCCGCTCCCTGGGGCCCACAGGCCTTAGCAAAGCCAAGAGGAAAAAGGAGGTCCAGCAAAGGGGCCCTCTGGCCAGACCCATGGGTGACATCCTGAGCTTGGCTGGACACTAAGGAGCAAAGTTCAGTGCAGTGATCTTTCCATTAAGGAGGTGGGACACGGAGGTGACCAGGAGGCCAGAACAGGAGCTTAGACCTCCCAGGTGGCCCCATGAGGGTCATTTGGCCACTTCCATGAGCTTAAGGTCACGCAGGCACCTGGGGCTGCTGAACCATACCCACACCCATCCAGTGCTTGGGGTGCACCTGCACCACGGCCCTTCTGAGGAAGCAGACACCTATAGGCTCATGAGACCTGGGGAAGGCAGACATCCCAGGCAGGAGCACCAGGCATTGTGTTCACTAATACCCCCTTTCCTTAGGCATACCAGGTCTCTGCTTCTGCCAGAGAACCCCACACTACCACTTACAGAGATCCAGAGCCTTAGAAAGTGAGGCAGAATGGCTCCAGCCAAGTTGGGGCCCAGATGGCCCCAGGTTGGGGTCCCGTACTTCAGTCTGGTGCCAGGCAGAGGGCGAGCCAGGCACAGCGACACTTCCTCTATGAACTCAGTACATGGAGAGGTCAATACTAGGACTTACCTCTCTCAAAACACACAAAGTAAGTCTATATAGTATGACCTACAATCACTTCAAATATCAAAGGCAAGAAAAATGATAGCTTGCTTTTAGAAACAGATTCAGAGAAAAGTTTTGCATATGTGAAAAAGTTTGTAAAGCAACTCATAAGAACAGCTGTTTTAAGAGAGGTTTTGTAAATTCTCAAACCTCAAGGAGCCTCAAAGCCACCAGAGCACATGAAGAGCTCTGAGACACAAGCTTGAGATAGCAGCCCTAACAGGGCACAGTGGGCAGGAGCACAGTCTGCCGGGCAACTGCTCAGCTCCACAGAACCTAATGCTTGCATGGCAACTGATGCCCTCCTGAGCGCCTCTGAATTTCAGTGAAGTCACCAGAGAAGGTTAGTGGTTGGGACCCTGGAAGGGCGGGTCTGAATCTCCTCTATATGTGCTCACCTCTCTGTAGGGAGCAATAGCATCATGTCCCGTATCCCTGAAACACACCTGCTCAGAGCAGTTTCAGTCAGATCTGTAACTTGGAATAGCCATTAGTGGACTATTTTTCTCAATGAAGTGGTAAAGTTTTCAACCCAAAGCCAGAAATATGGATGGGATGTGCCTCTAAACAAGGCTCAGCAGGAAAACTCATTTCCTCAGAAACAACAGGCAACATACCAGCAGCCTTGATGGAGTCAACTCCCCTCTCAGTGTAGGGGAGACCAGGGACAGTCCTAGGGACGGATTATGCAGGAGAAAAGGAGATTTCACACAGTTTCAAAGGGCTCTAATTCTCCTCTAGATAAGTGACTGATCCCAGGCCCCTGTATCTCATTCCCAGAAGCTGGTTCATGTTCTGCACAGGGTGAGTAGTAGCTGCAATGCCACCCCTCAACTCCCTCCAGCCTTCCTGAGAGCATCCCTTCCCACTTCTGTTCCTCACAGGTGATGTCAGATACAGGAAAATGGAGGAAGACAGAACAGAAGACAGAAGTTCTGCCCAAGAGGAGCAGGTTCAAAAATCCAGGCAGTGAAGCAGCAGCTGCTCCTCTTGCAGTGACTCCTGTGATGGATGCAAATCCACAAAACCAGAAACACAGAAGATACAACTGCCTCTGCCAGGAACCTGTTGACAAGGGATCCAAAGAAGGTGCCCCTTCCATGGGGCCTGATGGTAGGTGGGGCCCAGGGAGCACTGGTACCCAAAGGGCACTCTCAAACTCTTGTGATCAGGAGAGTCCCCATTACCCCCTCACTCCTCTGGATATGGCCCTCTCAGCATGCAGGATGCATCCTGCAGCACCCTGCTCTGCACCCCCCAGCGAAGCCACACCAGCCTGCATCCTGGCCCTGGCTAGCCACCTTCTGTCTGGCCCGCTTAGAGGACGTCTGGTCACCTTGCATTTGCAGTCTGAGGAAGCTGTGTCATCTTGGCTACATCCAGAGGTGACTCAGGCAGCTGCTGTGGCTGACAGCAAGTTGCAAACCACAGCCCCCGTCCCCAGCCCTGGCTCCCCTAACTCCAGCCCTCTCCCCACCCCCACTCACTGAGTGGCTCCTCTACCTGCAGTTCCCTGCCAGGGCTCTGTTCTACCCAACCTGTCCTGAGGTTTCAACCAGCTTCCAGCCTCCATGTACAGCCAAGAATGGCCCCTGGAAAAGCCCAGTGGCCTAGACATTCCTCTCATCTACTCCCGGAGTCTGGAGCTCAGATGATTCACAATCCCTCCCACCTCTCCACCCTTCCCAAAGAATCACCCCAACCCCTCATCTTTCTAGACCATCACTTTGGCCAAAGCAGACACCCTCACTCTGGTCTTGGTACCTCAATCTTGGCCCCACAGGCAGGTGGAGGTCTCAGGGTCCCTCCCCAGACCCGTTGCCATTTCAGTCTTCTACTGTGGGCCTGTCCTCTAGCCCTGCCTCTTCCCGAAAGTTCTCCCTGCCACCCTCCTCATGGTAGGCAAGCACCCTCTACCAAGACCTGGTTCTAGGTCATTCCATAGACAGAGGGCTTTTCACTACAAGGTGATCTTCTCCTGTCAGGCAAGGAACCTGTCTCCCCAACACCCTACACAGGCTCCTGCCACTGAACAAATGAGCCAGCCCAGCACTGGGGCCAAGGCTGCCAGGCAGGGAGCAAGAAGGTTGAACCACTTCCACCCTAACACCTCCCTAGACAGGCAGCGCTGAAAAGCTGGCAGGCTCTGGACCAGACTGTGACCTCAGGCCAGGTGAGCAAACCCTCAGTATCTCAGTTTCCCCACCTAAAATGGGTGGTCAGGGTGAACTATGTGATCACTCAGGTTCATTTCTACCTGCTCTAAAATTCTACAATTTTAAGATGACACTTTCAATTTCCTGAAACTGTAAGAAAGCGGAAACATGATGAGTCTGTGACTTATAAAAAGCAAAAGTAAATACTGGAGCAACTCATCTTCCATTCGCAGAGAACAGGGAGGGTGGGGAGCAGAGAGGGTGAGTCACTGTTTACTGCTCCAAGGAGCCAGAGAATTCTCCCAGCTGGCCGGATTTCCATTTCCCGTGTGGACTGGACCCGAAACCCAGAAAGTCCACTCCTGAAACCTTTAGATTCAGAAATAGCCAGGACATAAACAGGCACAAGTTCTTCTAGGTCCGGATGGCAAACAGCTCTGCCTTGAGATTGTAAACAAACCCTCAATCCATCACAGAACCCAACAGTGAAAACACGTGCATCGGTGGACAAAGAATGGGCAGAAAACGGTCTCATCCAACAGCAGCCCTATGAGTGCCAGAGAAAGGGCTAGACTCTCAGTAGGAGCTGTCCTCCACAAGTACCCTCTTCCACCACCCATTTTTAGCAGCCACCTGGAAAGTAAGCACTACTGAATTTGGAACCAGTCCCTCAAAGACCAGACGAAGTACAAAAGGCAAATGTGCTACAGAAGAGAAGCCTAGTTTGTTTTTTCACTTTAATAAATGTTTTATTCTGGAATAATGAGAGGTCTAGTTTTAAGTTATAAAAGTTGACTCCCTCTACTGAGGTTGAGCTTCCAGACATTCCTATCGGGTTACTTAAAGAGGGAAGAAGTTCTCATAGAGTCTGATGCCCACAATGCCCACCCACTTGCACAATCCACCTACACCTTTCCAGGCCCCACCCACCTGCTGAGACTAACACCTTTTTTAAAGCTTTGGGTCCCTGAAAACCTCAGGCTTGGAGAAAAGGTTCCAGAGGCATCACAACACAGGCTTGCACCATATCAAGATGCCCTCTACCTCACTGCTGTCATAGCAAAACCTCCCAAAGCCCACCAGTGAATCAAAGGGGAGGGAAGGGCCATGACCAAACCAAAGCACAAAGATTTTTATCATGCTGTGTCGAGAAGTAGTTTCCAAGTCTCTGGAGCTTCCTGTAGCCAGGCACCTGGCAAGAGCAGGGTCAATGCAGAATGAATGGTTAGTGGACCTGATTTCTGCCTTGGCTAGGAGAATCATTAACACAAGACACAGAGCAGGCTGATCCATGAACTCAGGGAGTTTGGTGGCACTCAAGAGACAACATGACGGGTGGGTAGAGCGTGAGACTGCCATGGAGACAGAGGGCAGGACCACCTGCTTTTCCCAAAGCCGGCACAAGTCAAAAGCCTAAGAGTAAGGGGATGCTGACTTTCCAGATGCCTTCCTGACGTCTGGTCTCACCTCCTGGGCTCTGAGTACAGGGACAGCACTTGTTCCTGAACTTGACAGAAGCTAAAAAGATATTACTACTAACCCACACGTGTGCACAGTGGCACAGGCCAGGACACCAGGACACCAGAACTGGCACCTGCCGCCCTCCCCACCCATAGCTTCCGGTACCCGCGGCAGCCCACCCCCTCCCTCTCCAGGGACTCGGAAGCATGAGGCCCGTGACCCTGGCCTCTGAGGAGCCCGGGTTAACCCACTCCCCTTCCTCGGGCGCCGCGTGGACCCTGCCATTGGGCGGGAGCTACGCCCGTCACGAGTGTGAAGGCCGGCTTCACCGCGGAAGAGCGCAGGCGGGCGGAAGTGGGAGGCTCAGTCGCGCCAGGGCCCCCAGCGCTCCCTGCACGTGGCGCCTCGCCCCCGCCCCTCCCCGACCTCTCAGGTCAGGGGTAGGCGCCAGGCAGGCCGGGCGACACGTGCAGGGGCGGGGCAAGATGACCCCAGCCCCGCTAGCCGGTCCACCTGAGCAGGTGCGCTGCGGGGGCCAGGGGTCTCGCCCACCCGTGCCCGAGCCCAGGAGGCCGTGACTCAGCGTCCCCAAGCCCCTGCCCGCCCCGCCCCGGCCGCCGCTCACCTGGCGTCAAGGAGTGGCGCGGGCGCGCGCAGCGGCTCCTCGCGGGCACGCGCTCTCCTCGCGCTCGCGCTCACTCTCGCGCTGCCCCGAGGCCGCCGCCTCCGCCTGGCGCTCCGGCTTGGACTTGGAGAACAACAAGAAGTAACCCCCCGGCGGCCAGCGCGCCCGCCCGGCTCCCCAGCATCTGACTCCGCTTCCGGGATCGCGCGTCGGCGCGCGTCACGCCGACCCCGCCCCCGATCGCGCCACGCCCACGCCACGCCCTCTCGCGCCCCTCCCCGCTGCCACCAACCCCACCAGGCCACGCCCCCTCGCAGAGGCCCCGCCCGCCACCTCGGCCCCCGCCCCTCCTCCTGACCAGAGGTGGGGGCGAGCGCTGGCGGTGCGCACCTGTAAAGATGAGGCAGCCTGCATCTGGGCTCCGGTCTACTCAGGTGTCCGGAAGGGCCGCATGCTGGGCCCGCTACCCCTGTGAGATTATGGGGCCGTGCATGCCGGACGAGCGACCGAGGACACCTCTGCTTGTCTGCATCCCAGACTCCCAGGCCACAAACGCAGCTGGGCCCGTGTCTTGGAGTGGTCCTGCGCGGTCTGCTGAGAAGCGCGTGGGGCACTTCGCAGAACTAGTGGGCATGAAAGGTTTAGTTTTAAGCTATAACAGTTGACTTTCTCTACGAAGGTCGAACTCCCAGACATTCCTATTGGGTTACAATTGCTGGTCACAATGCTTTGGAAATCCTGGCCAGGCCACAGGGCTTGTGGTTTTGTCATGGGGGAAACGCTGCCCATCTGCAGTGAGGAAGGGCACCCAGCATGCCCCACTGACCCACCCCTTATCTGCCTTCTGATTTCTCATGTTTGGCCAAGAAATGGGTAAAGAGAACTAATTTTCCTCTATGAAAAACAAGATGAAAATAGTTCCCACATTGTCTGGTGGTTAGAAAAAAAAATTTTTTTTTAAAGGAAAAAATTAAAATGGTGATAAGCGGCTATTGACCCAGCCTTGGACTTGAGCAGGAACACAGGCCATCATCGAAAGCCTCAGTTCACGGTTGGCATGGGAATATACAGGCCAAGCAAAGGCAGGGCCACATCAGGGTTAAGAGCACCTTTGGCTCTGTAGTCCTGTGAGTAATCCTCAGGTGGGGGCCAATGTCCCTGTCACCGGTGGAGAATGAGCTGGAGAGGTGACCTATTCAGAGTCACTTGGACTGGATGACAAACTCCTGGCTATATTTCCAGACCCCTCCCCCCTCCAGAGAGCCAAGGAAACTACACCCTCCTTTGAGTGCAGAACAAAGAGGTGACACAGCCAGTCTGGAGAGGAGCAGAGTCTACCTAGGAGTTTCAGAAAGTCTGTTTTCTGGGGCTCATGGACTTATAGGGCACAGACATCCTAGAAAACTATAGGAGCAAGTGCTGTAGTGCCCCCATTGCTGCTTGATTTCCACAGAGAAGTCTGTGGATCTTGGTATTGCCAGCACCCCCCCACCCCCCCCACCCCCCGCAGTATAGCCTGTTGTTTAGGAAGTGGCCCCAGTGACCCCTGACTGTGGAGGACAGGGGGTTCCCCCTGCACAGTCTTGCTCCCAAATGCTCTCCCAAACGAGTTTCACTGATGCTTATAATGACCTAGGTGGCAACAACTGCAGTGGAACCAATCTCCAGTGGCAGTAGCCAAAATGCCCCACCTGCTGGGATGTTTCCATAAAGATATCCCCACAGTTGTCACCTGCTGTCCTCAGAGACAGCGCTAGCACTGTCTGGTTTGAGGCTCTCTTTGTTAGACTCTGGCTCAGAGGTCAGGTTCTTTTCAGTTTCTCTTAGTTTCCATATTTCTAACTCAATACATTAAGCTTTTGTTATTAATAGCACTGTCTTATTCTCTTTAGCTCCTTAAAAGCAGGACATTGAGAAAGCAAAAACAGGCAGCAGTGGGGTACAGCTCACATTGAAGCACAACCTTTGGTGGAGATGGAGGTCTCTCCATTTCACACCTCTGAACTTTAAATTGGGCTTAATACAGTATGGTGAACATGGGCTTTTTAATAAATGACTTTGGACCACTTGATAACTATTTAGAAAAAAGTCAATGTTGGGTCTATACTTTATCCACACCATATGCCACTATACATTTAAAATGGAGCCACAATTTAATTTTTTTTTTTTTTT